TTTGGAACAAAATATAATTTAAATTGTTTAATAGAATAATTTTATTTTTTTTTATATCACATTATACGGTATATCATTATAATATAACATACTTTATTTAATATAATCTTCATGAAATGAAAGAATACCATTTTTTTAATTTTAAATATATATTATATATATACATATACATTCACACATACCTATATATAGGCCTATATGTATGTTTATATATAGGCCTATATATGCATACATATATAGGCCCATATATATGTGATATATATATATATATACATACACATAGGCCCATACATCATACACATCACACAAATTTATAAAATTTGATAGTGTGCACAAAACTTAAGAATATGCTGTGGCCTACTGTGACAATATTTATTATTTGTTTCTCTCACGTTTGAGAGTGTACAAAGGAAAAATGGACACAATGCCTATACTTGTCTATTTTCCTATAATACAAAGGTTCATTGGCCTAATAGTTGTATTGAATTTTAAGGAATTTAATCTATGGACCTACAGTAGTAGGCTTATATCTATACTGAGCCCGATGATCGTGCTAATATTCAGGCATACGCCAGCCTAAAAGTGCATTCACGCCTAATCCGATCCTTCGGACCAGAAAGCCTATCGAAATCAAAACGGATGTATAAAATTATGGACGAATTCCTTCAGCACGTACATCGGAAACGCTTCCAAATTACGGTTTGGTTCCGATGTGAATGCCGCTAAATAGGCCTATTTTACAAATAAGTAGGCCTTTATTTTTCTTGTATGGTTACAAACGTTATTCCATTGTTTCTTTTCATATTTTTTGTTATATTTTTTATATTAAAATATAACTCTTAATTAATTTAATACACTTACAAATATTTTTCAATTTAATCCCAATTATTCAAAATTAGTACAATGATAATAATTCTATTAGATAACAAAATAAAACTCATTCAAGTATAGCGTTCCATTCATAATTATTTTCTTTTGCAAAATTCTTAAATATAATCCATGCATTTTTACAAATTTAAATTTTGTATATAGCAAATACTGCAATGGAATATATCTCATTTTTAATTCTGCTATCACAGCCTATTAATAATTCTTTAAAAGAAGATTGACTGTTATCAAGTTTCTTAAATAGATTGTCTATATTTTCCCATAATATCCTATTTTTTAGACATTCAAAAAACATGTGCTTTTCACCTTCGACTGCTCCACACGTATCACATGTGTCAGTGTGTTTTAACTTCCATTTATACAATTGCCTATTTGTTGGAGACATTTTGTTTAACAATTTATAATTCAAAAACTTATTTACACAGTGCATTTTGGCATTGAAACAATTTAAAAAAAAAGGATAAATTCGCATCCGCTCGAACTGGCACATTATCCGCTTGAACTAGCATTCGTTCGAAGTAGCATCCACTCGTATTCTTTCAATACAGTATACTACAATGGCTTGCCGATGACGTACTAATGAATTAAGTTATTAATTATGCTGAGTTTCGGCCAATTTACTTGGCAAAAAAACACTTTATTCTTCTATAAGTGCGTGACGTTATCTAATTTTCTCTAAAATCTGCACTAAAACTCTCACCAGTGCTTGCCGACGACGTACTGGTCAAACAAGTTGCCAAGTTAGCTGATGACGTTGTCACTGAATGAATTTTCGGTGACTGTCGACTACAGGATGCCTCTGCGTCATATTTCGCTTTTACTTCAGATCTCGATGATACCTTGCAGATAATGAAGTCAAAAGTTTCTTTGAATTCTTTTCTCATTACTTTACTTCTTCCTGCATAAATTAACGGATTCATCATAGAGTTAGCAATGGTGAGAAAATCTGCAAACCACAAATACCACATCAGCCAGGTAGAACCATTATCAATGAGTCTTTTAATAATGATTCTAAGAGCTCTTGCTGCAGTGCACAGCGTATAAGCAAGAAGTACTATAGCTGCGTAAATGGAGATGGCTAAAATCTATTAATAACCTTCTTAATAATAGTGGATTTGACCATGTCTTTTCAAGTGATATTCCCCCTGATACAGCATGGTTTAAGTCCTGTCTCTTATACACATCTAGATGTGTATAAGAGACAGGAAATTATCATTGTAGTCCTAATAATTTTCTTTGTGTCATTTGCAGACGGAAGTCACACAAGACTAAAAGAAGCCGGCATGATAGGGATTACAACGACAGAGAGCATCGACATGAAAGCAGAAGAGAACGCCACAAAACAGAATCAGATGAGATTGCTGAAGCAAATGCAGTGAGAGCTTCTCTTGGCCTGGCTCCATTGAAATGAGTGTGCTAGTTCCTAATAAAATACCTTTAAAAGCTTACCATAGATGATTAAACAAGCACCTCACTTAACGCTAAGGCGCTCAATAGTTTTGCAGTAAATTATCCAAAATGCCTTGTAGCATTGGGACACTATTAAACAACAAAATTTACAATTCTTGAATTATGATGTTATATTGTAACAAACCTGAGAAGTGCAGACCTTGGTACAACACCCGATACTATTAACAAGACCCAGGGAGGACACTTGTGGCACGCATTATGTGCTCCATAAAACATGCAAAGGATTGGTTTTTAGGTCCGATGGGAAGCCTGTCTCTTATACACATCTAGATGTGTATAAGAGACAGCCATGGACCTTATTAATAGGTCCATGGTTACACAGTGCATTTTGGCATTAAAACAATTTAAAAAAAAAGGATAAATTCGCATCCGCTCGAACTGGCACATTATCCGCTTGAACTAGCATTCGTTCGAAGTAGCATCCACTCGTATTCTTTCAATACAGCATACTACAATGGCTTGCCGATGACGTACTAATGAATTAAGTTATTAATTATGCTGAGTTTCGGCCAATTTACTTGGCAAAAAAACACTTTATTCTTCTATAAGTGCGTGACGTTATCTAATTTTCTCTAAAATCTGCACTAAAACTCTCACCAGTGCTTGCCGACGACGTACTGGTCAAACAAGTTGCCATGTTAGCTGATGACGTTGTAACTGAATGAATTTTCGGTGACTTTCGACTACAGGATGCCTCTGCGTCATATTTCGCTTTTACTTCAGATCTCGATGATACCTTGCAGATAATGAAGTCAAAAGTTTCTTTGAATTCTTTTCTCATTACTTTACTTCTTCCTGCATAAATTAACGGATTCATCATAGAGTTAGCAATTATGAGAAAATCTGCAAACCACAAATACCACATCAGCCAGGTAGAACCATTATCAATGAGTCTTTTAATAATGATTCTAAGAGCTCTTGCTGCAGTGCACAGCGTATAAGCAAGAAGTACTATAGCTGCGGTTTTCGTCACTTTCATTTCTCTTTTTTTAACCTTCTTTCCGTGGCGTGTGGCATTCTCCTTCGCTTTTTTTGACGCGATTGAGAAAATATACGCGTACAGAATATACAGGAAAAGAATTGAAAGGCCGACAAACGGTCCCATGACGTAATAGGACACAGGTGCTCCGTACATTTCATATATGGCAGAGCTCCCGCAATCGTATTCATACGTCACATTAGGTGGTGGCACGAAAAGGCTTGCGACAGCACCTATTGCGAATGAACTTCCTCCGAAAAAAAACCCAAACAAATCAACACAGATGCAAACTCGAAATGCTCTTTCAGTTGATATCCATACATGGTATCGAAGAGGATATTTAATCGCAAGGAATCGATCAATAGTTATCACGATCAGATTTAGCACGGAGATAGAAATAAATATTGTGATGGGCACATAATACCATATCGCACAGTTCTCCATAAAATGGAACTGTCTACGAAGAAGGAATGCCACCATGCAGAGGGGAACTCCAATCAAACCAGTTAAGAAATCGAAGATTGCCAAGGATGAGATGAAGATACTGTTTGGAGTTTTTTCACGTTTCCGATACACACTGAGTATAACGATGAAGTTTCCAAGTATCGTAATCAGCATAACAGGCAAGTATGTAACGATCACATAAATAAAAAGCCCTACAGAAACGTTTTGCTGCACCGATAAATCAATTGTTGCCATCGTGAAACAGAAATAAAACTGTCGCAAAAACAAGTTTGGTGACCACAGTACGCACTTCCATTGCTTTTAGTTCGTATATGAAGTCATTCGTAACAAATTATATGCAATAATTTGTTATTTTACTTATACCTATAGGATCAGTTGTTATATAATTACTATTTGATTGGATGTAATATCAATAAAGTATACATTTAAAAAGTGAATACCGCCAATACCATGGCAACATTTGAAAAATAAATAACTAATATTAACTGTAATGAATAACGTGACCTGCTATTCAAAGTGCTGATTACTTTCACTTGAATATGCCATAATTAAAGAAAAAAGATCAATCATAAATTTGCATACTTTTTTTATGTATAGACCTGAAGGGCTCAGTATCATTGATCTACACTCTAGTACTACAGGGCAACGTTTCGTGTCACCGTTGCCGAAGTAGGGCAGGAGACCAGGGGCCGCAAAGGGCCCCCGGCGGTTTTTTGTTTGTTTTTGTATTGTGATTTTACAAAATAAGCGTAATATATTGTAATTAAGATAATACTTTGTTCGTCTGTAACTTAATTTCTTTTTACACATTGTCTTATTTTTATTACATTATATAAAACAAAATTATTAAATAAAGTTTAAAACGTTCAATGAAAATAAGAAAAAAAAATGTTTGTACTTTTTTCTAATTATTACTGTTATTGGTATTATTGAAAAGATTACACAGAATTATAAAAGTAATTTAAAAAATAATAACGTCGGCGTCATCTGATGTATTTTAAAAAATCATAACATTTAAAATACATTAATTCACATTAGGCTGTTGCTTCGACTATACATTTCCCCAGTACTCTACGCTATATGTTCTGTATTGTATGGAAGAATGCTGTTTAAGGATTTTTTTTTGTTGCAAAATGTTTGACAGAGTTTGATGCAAACGTCAATGAAATTTGATAATTCCAACGATCTACCCCTTCTTTCATATTTTCCCAAGTTTTTAAACATTCAAAAATTTATATCTCATTAACCAAGTTTATCTCGCTCTATGGACACGGGAAGCTAATCCCGATATAAAATTCGACGCAATAAGTTAAAACTCGGTTAATTTTTTCAATTTTCATGCAGGTACTTCTTTTTCGCCACAAAGTAGTAAACGTAGATCGGTTGAGCAAGGCTACATAATTTCAAGAATAAAAGGAGCAGGTCCGCCTGAAATTATAAGTAGTACATGCAGATTTTTATCAGTGTTAATATCACATTTGACTGATATATTTAAATACATTCATTTATTAAAACGTTAAGATAAGTTTATAACAATTTATAGAGGCCTAATTAGTTTCAAACTACAGCAGCTCATTATTTACAAAAATGGCATGCAATTTTTTTTTTTTTTTTTTTAATGAATGTCTATAGAATTTTCTGAGAGAAGCTTTTATTTCACACAATGTGACTCAGGGCAAGTTTATTGAGCTTTACGTACTGGAAATTTTCCAATACTAAAGACAAGCGAGTGGGTACCGGCTTAGTGGTAATCTATTAACTTTAATACTGATCATCAACTGAACCTTCAACTTACGCCATTGTAAGGAAAGCCACTAGAATTGAAAAGAGAAATGCACGGCCTGTTAATTGTAGAACAAATGTCAAGAATTGGACCGGTAAAATTGGTATCATCGTGCAAATGTTGAAGCCTGCCGTCATCAAGTTAGTTAGAAGAAGCGCTAGTACACAGTCATGGAGATCATCAATGGACGTTCGTTGAACAGAGCCTGTTTTAAATTAGACACATCGTGAAATCGGAAATTAAATGCATTATTACAATGTATTATAACAATGTTATTTATCTATATTATTAATAATAATAAGGCCTACATCACATAATAATATAACAGCATAATACTAATAATAATGCCATTAATGAAAATTATAATAATGATAATGCTAATATAAAAATAATAATGATAATCATATTAATGATATTGATGAAAAGGATGATAATAATTATCAGTTTGATTTATTATAGATTCGTTTATTATTATAGATTGTAATTTGATACACACCTCTTCCATCATTTGTAATTTTCTTCTTATTTCTATCAAGAACAAGACCACAAAAGAAAGACAGTACGATGATAGTAGAATGTAAAGCAGTGTAAACTGTTGTATACGTAGAAACTGAAAAAAAAAAGATATAGGCCTACGATATAAAAGGCCTACGGACTAACCTTAATGAAAGATTTCAAATAGGCCTACAGTAACAAAATGATGCATTTAGTATTAACAAAAAAACTTGAAATAATAATTAATAATGACTGCCAATTTTAACCAAATCTATCAATAATAATAGGCCTAATAATAATAATAATAATAATAATAATAATGAATAATAACAATCATTATCGTCAAGTACGGTATCCTGTAAACAACAATAATTTTAGTTAACAACTTATATTTCTTTTAATACTGTACATAGATATATCAAAATCTTACTTATATCATTGTCATCATTTGAAAGTTGTTGTAATCGAGGATTAACAGTGCCAATGAAAAACAGATTTGTAAGTTGGAGAATTGAAAACCACATCAAAAACAACAGAAACATTGGAGATTTGAGACAGCTAAGAAGAGTCTGGTATTCAACATCCACGTAATGTGTCTTTTTAAACACATCATCTGCCGACGAAAATCCTATCGACAATAAATAATTACTTGAGACACAGTAGTGTAAATAGAGTTAGAAAGTATGCACAATCTTAAACCACTGAACAAGCGTCGAATTTAAATCAATGTGAAAGCGTGTATTAATAAATCGTAGGTGATGACATATAGCCACCCTGCTGATCTCTTTACGTCTTGATATCTTAAATTTTATAGAAGTTTTCCGTTGCCATATTTATGTATATTATTCTTTCCAACTCAATTGCACCCATCCCCCCCCCCCCACACCCGTAAATACGCCACTGAACCAATGAAAACATCGTATTTTACGACACATTGAGGCAGCATTAATAGAACCAAGGAATTATCTTTCTTAAATGGACGAAATATAATTATGAAAAAGGGTAAATAATTTACCTAAAAATGACAAAAAAATAAAAAATTAATTAATTAATTATTTTGGCATTAAAAAGAATATACCAATTCCCTGTGAAATTAATCTAACCAATCGAATGACCAGGATCAGTTTAGGATATTTTGTAATTTAAATTGTTATTGGCTAACAAATGGCTGTTTTATGATTGTTTTAAATAAACGGACATCAATCAATGAAGTAAAATAACGACAAGAGACGTTATTACAGGGAAAAAAAGTATTTACCATTCAACCCAGTCATTTCATTTACGTCTACGTCTTCAGTAGGCCTACCACACTGAGATTCTACCGCAAATGCCTTTCCCCAATTGGATGGCAGCGGCCAAGGAATCTTGTATTTTGGTAGTAAAACGAATGTGTTGATGTTAAATAACACAGCTACACCTGCTAGAAAACAGAAGCAAGCCATCATTGATATACCGCCGGTGTAAGCAATCTATTAAAAAGAAAGTATTTACAGTATGAAGCCGACAGAAAAGCACGAACGAAAATCATTCATGTTGCACCTGAAGTAAAATCATTTTCATGGTTTTTGGATGCAGTAGGCCTAAATGTCGTCTTATGCTATGGCAGGAATTGAACGTAGTACAGATAATATTTTTCTCAAATTTTTTGTTATTAGGATTTGTCATTTTTGTCACTACCACTACTATTTTACGCATTGTTCAACTTCAATTTCTGTATATTTTTTGAAATTGCAATTAAAGTTTATTTGTATTTGTACACTAAATTGAAATTCAATGTTCTGGAAAAAAATGATTATGATACTTATCTTACTATGAAAAGGGATGTTAAAATTTATAGATTAAAGTTTTATTATAGAAAATAACAATGTGGACCTTTTATTGATTTGGGGAGAAAGATGCGTATTATTATTTTGCACAATTCCCCCCCCCCCCCCAACCCATTTGATACGGACCTGCAACCCTTGCAGTTACCTGTACAAGTAGCATCATCAATGCAGACGAACCAACAGCGCCTGCATGTAGCGTTATTATTGTTGAGCGGTAGTCACCAAAAAGATTGCCAACCTGCAGAAATAACCAATAATACACATCCAGTGTGTAAGCTGGCATTAGCCAAATAGCAAATCCTAATAAAAGCTAAATATTTTTTATTCAAAATTAGAGAGACAGCTAATGGAAATAAAGCTGCTATTGCTTATATTCTTATGTTTTGGCTAACTGATTAATCTCAAATAAGATAGTATAATACCTGTCTCTTATACACATATACCCAAGCATGGAGGAATAAACCCAAGTAACATCAGTATGTCTTTATACAATTAGGCCGGGGGCTATAAGAAGATTGAAACACACACAATTGCATGCGTTTTTTTGATTTGCAGACATCCAGATCCGGGACTAACAAATGGATTAATTGCTTCTTTATCACTTGGTTCATCTACATACGTTATTTATACTTGTTTCAAATTGCTTTTATGATCTAGTTTAAGTGACAAAATGATGCTTGTATATCGTTAGTAATATTATTTAATTTGCCAAGGCAGTTCCCGTACAGTGTTGCAGTATCCCATCGACGCAGTTGGTTCATGCACACAATATATGTAAACTTGATGTCGGGGCAAAATAAATAATTAAATAAAGAAATATATATATATATATATATATATACTGTCTCTTATACACATCTAGATGTGTATAAGAGACAGAACATATACCAACGTATAGAAAATGAATTACAATATGAAATTATACGAAATGTTATGAAATTATATGAAATGATATAACAAGATATGAAATTATATGATATGAAGTTAAATGATATGAAAAGATATGAAATGTGAAATGTGTGTTCACTTAACTGTGGAGATCCCTTGGTCCCCGGTTCAATTCCCATCGCTGCTCTCTTTGTATTTCAGCTAGAGGACTAAAATGCAAGTTACCATAGCGCACCGTCTTTCGGATGAGACGTTTAAGCCGTTGATCCCGTGTGCATTATGGCCCATGTGCACGTTAACGATCGCAGTACACAGTTCGGAAAAAAGTAGGGGATGTCTCCCGGTGTACAATAGGGGTCCCAAGTCTCCCGGAAGTCGCGGGAGTCTCCCGGAAATCGGGACGGCTTCCGCACTCTTGCAAGCAAGCAAGAATCTCCCGGAAAATAACATTTATTTATAAAATTAATATTTGATGATATTTAATCGAGATAAATAGGAACCAAAAATTGTTTTTAATGAAAAGAGCCTAAAAGGATAGAAATACGATAATATACTTGTTTAGATTTGCGATATATACTATTTAAATTTGCGCAGGCGCTTTGGCGGCAAATTGTAACAAACATTTTTGCCTTACTCAAATTAGATGATGACGATACTTATTCATGAAGTCTAGTAAAATGTTTTAATAGCCAACTTTTTATGCTTTTTAATAAGAATATTAAATTTTAGTTTTTAATGTCTATGATGTCTACTAATAGTGAATGTTAAATTAATATTACTTTGTCAAAGTCAAGCTCAGAAAATAATCATTTTACACGGAAAATATTTACGTAGGCTCTTTGGTAGAGAAAATTAAAATTACATTAATATTGATATTCGTTGATATTGATGAAATATAGTATTTCAAGCTTTAGACTTCTCAAAAGCGGATATTAAATTTACGTTAATAGTTTTCAGATTCGTTGATTATTAATAGAGAATGTATTAGCCCTCGAAAATGTTGGGGTTTCAAAGGCTTATTAAATCGATTTTAGAGTCTACTATAACATGTAGAAAATACATAATTGTTTTTTCTCCCGAAGAATTGCGGATTTCCCCCCTCGACGAATCCCTGGCACAACCCCTGTTATTCCGGGGAAAAAATTTAAAATCCCAAATTCTCTTTCTTCACACCTCAATATCTACCGAAAATGAGCCAAGCTACTGTCTGTAAGTACCACACAATTATTACGTCTCTTGCTATCACATTGAACAAGAGAGATTTAACCTTAACTAGTCATATAGGTCTATGCAACAAAATGTACAATTTTAACAGGCCAATAATTTGTAAAAGTAATAAACTCCAATCTGGAATTCGCCCTCTCAAAAAAGGTGCAGTATACGCACAAAAAACTAAAGGTCGACTGATTAATCTCAAATAAGATAGTATAATACATACTCCAAGTATCGAAATGCGACGCGAAATGCGGACACGATGGCGTGCATTTCGATACTTGAAGTATGTATTGTCGTATATGCACAGAATACAGTACTGTATATCATTTACGGTAGCTATTCTCTTCATTGTTGACAATAACAACTTCATAAAAAAAAAAAACTACAAACACAACTGTATATAATATATGCACTCTTTATATGTTCACTAGTGTCATAATCACATTTAAATCTTAGAACTGAATCCGTCTCACAATTTCAAAAATAGGAGCAAGGCAAAAAAAGGAGGTAATGTAAAAATATGTATTGTGATTGCATGATCACAAGTATCACAGATTCAATGGGAACACATTATCATACGTTTCACGAAATTATTACTCTATAAGAATTTAAAACATTCATATTATCAATTTTTAATCTTTAGATTACTTATTTATTATTTATATATTTTAAAAGGAATTAAATATCTGAATAACTGAACAACTGAATAGTTAAATATGGGGAATTTAAAGTAAAAATTATAGAGATAAGCAATTAAACCATTGATGTTAGGCCAAAAAAGAAGCAATAATGTTGACAAGGCAGTGAAAATTAATTTAGGGTCGGTCGATCTGGATAGAAGCATAGGCTAATCTAAGTTTCATGGTTAACCACTCTCACCCTGATACACCTTCGCTAGCAGAATGATAATAAGGCTATGATTAAGACCCATTTGGGACTATCATTTCAGTCAGTAGCAAAAAATGTTTTGTGATTTACCTTCAGATTGTTAATGTTATAACAGAAGGTAAAACAATATTATTATAATCGACAAAAAAAGAAATGAAAGGAAGGTTTTTTAATAACCAAAGGATGAAATTCAAGACCTGCTAATGAAATTTTAAAAAATATTGGAATTGCTAATTCTCTGTTATTATTTTGTAATAAAAAAAAAGAATGAATTAACCTTATCGTATAGAATACCAGTGAGTGTAGTATAAAATTATATGGAGAAGATTTGAGGGTATTAAAGGCAATGACAAGACAGTTATCAAACCAGTAATCAGTTCTATCCAAACTATTAAATTCTATGTGATAAATACATGTGATTTGCCAACATATGGGAACTATATATCATCTTGATATGATCACAAAGGAAACCCTTACAAAATGATGCATTCAGAGAAACTATTAAATGTGTACACACATGTATATATAAATCATCAAAGAAAGGTAAACA